GAGAGAGAGAGAGAGAGAGAGAGAGAGAGACAGAAAATCAGCCAGACGTCCATCCAGACAAACGGAGACTACAATAAAAAGAAACATGCACTCATGCGTCTTATCTCAAAATCATTCAGCACACCATGCCTTTGAGTATATCACACACAGTGGCAGCGGGCGGGCCAAAATTTGGATGGGGCTTCGGTTGCTTCTACTTCTTTACCACCAAATAGCAAGCAATACGACCTAAACAGTACTGATTGCTCTATAGCTATGGTGAGTCACGGCATTTTGAGAACCATTCAAACGAGAAGAGTTACCTTTGTCTTCCATCTCTTTGCTCTAAGTTTGATTCTTCTAGATGAAAAAAGTTGCCTTAAAAGTGGAATGGACGTGATTTATAACTGTTAAATCTCAGCGGCACAAACACAAACATGCACACACAGCACTTCAAACATATTCCGTCTGTGTGCTGTGTAGTCGAGGAAAATAGAACGCACCTTACAAAGGTCCAATGAGAGCGTAGTCTATATCTGTGCCACTGGGGGAAAGTGTGTCGTAAACGTTCACCCCATTGACAGGGCTAGGAGAGCGTGAGCCCTCAGTACGGTGGGTTTTTTTTTCTTCTTCAGTCTTCTACTTTTTTACAAGAAGAGTTTCATTACGGAAGGGGCGTGGGAATGGGCTCATCCTTTGCTGAGCCCTAAAAACATTCGATAAGCTGTTAGGTTACCATAGTGGGTAAAAGGTGACAACAGGGATTGGATAAACGAGTAAGCCGCCGCGTTGATCACTCTGTGTTCATTGCGTGCGATCATAACGGTTTCAACTGCTTATTCCGTTCCTTAAGAAACTTTCTTTTATTTTGGGAAAGGGGAGGGGGGGGGGGTCAAGCCCATGAGCCCTTCACTACCCACCGCCACTGATCACACACACACACACAAACACGCGCGCGAGCGCTAGAAAAAGACACAGGCAGCCAGATAGACACATAATATGTACTCTCTCTCTCTCTCTCTCTCTCTCTCTCTCTGTCTTTTCCCCCTCTCTCAACAAGCAGAGTACATGTTAATTGTTAAAAGAAGGGGGCCAAAGTTCAAGTGCATGTGACCTCGACATGAATGAGATCAGCAGATGAGTCTACAGTGTTATCTAAGTGGACAACAATCAATCATTTCTTTCACAGACCAGGGGAACCACTTCTTTTATAAATATTGTGCTCTCTCTCTCTCTCTCTCTCTCTCTCTCTCTCTCTCTCTCTCTCTCTCTC